ATCCCTACCTCCTCACTGTGTGAGCTCTTATAGACGACCACCAGTAATGGAGTGTAGTCACTATTTCCTTAGAGACATTGGGCTATTTAGGAAGGCTATTATGAGCGTTCGCTACTTTGGCTGTTGTTTCCTGCTGCAGTGAGACAATACTGCTCTTACGAGGTAGTGTCAGAAATGCGGGTGCTTAATATGCTCAACTGTTCTGGGCCAGAGGATAAGATCTCACACAGTGAGGAGGGAGGGATCCATCCCTCGACCTCCTTATATCCGATCCAAGCACATGTCATATGGTAACGTGCTATGGTATTTATTCTCTCTCCCTGAGAGCATACATTGTTAAATAAATACCATATAGACCTAAATTTCATTACCTCATAATCAACTTATTTGTCCATATCGCCTTGCGATATGCCTGTGATCTCCCGATAAGCCCACATCTCGTGCGCCAACTCAGACCCTTAGTCTGGCTAATAGTAAACAGATAAAATGGACATGAGGTTTCGACTTGATCGCTTCAACATATAAGTACACATCAACACCATTCTGACCTAGTCAGGACGACTAAAAAAGTTCTCTAGTGATGGAGTGTAGTCACTATTTCCTTAGAGACACTGAGCTATTTAGGAAGGCTGTTATGAGCGTTCGCTACTTTGGCTGTTGTTTCCTGCTGTAGTGAGACAATATTGCTCATACGGGGTAGTGTCAGAAATACGGGTGCTTAATACGCTCAACTATTCTGGGCCAGAGGAAGATCGATTGACATGTCTCCTGATTGCATCACATGCGCTACTCTTATTTATGCCTAAGGCAATGTTTTAAGAGTGTGATGAATCGAGGGTAGACCCTGGTGTTCATGTACTCTTCTGGCTGCAAGGCTACCCAGGTGTTCAAGTACTTGAGCAGATATGGTTGATCAAATATGGGGTAAGAGATATCGCATACTTACACTTTTGTTTGTGTGTTTTTATTGCTTTAGGTAGATCCTTGTGTCGGTCCTAACGAATCTGGCTGCAAGGCTACCCGCTTTTAGGTTCTTTACGATCAATGTCTCACTAACAACGTTTGGATATGGATTTGAAAAGGAAGGAGATTCGCATGGAGACTTTGACTCGGGGAGCAACGAATGACACCCACTCATTTGTGTGAGTGGGAGTTTATTGGTTGTTATTCTGAGATAGACACCCAAATAAATGGGTGGATAATATCTTATCTTAGAGATGAGATATTTATAATCCTAATGAGTCTAAGATTCTATCTCTAAGCCCTTTATATATTCTCAAACAAATGGAAGGGTTCCTGACGAACAGGCGATTCTCTTTCCAGACGATTCTCGGCATCAAGAGCAAACAAAGGAATTCTTTTAGGCTGATCTATTTGACACCTGCTTCATCTTCAAGTACTATGCATGCTTCCCTTGCAGAACAATCGAATGAATTTTCATTGTACCACTACTAGTGGGCTGGAAGTTCCTCTTCAGCTCTAGGGATTCCTAAACTTTTTTGCTTGATATCATGGGGA